AAGCATTCAACTCAGTAGATTTTGCCGCCGATCCTAGAAATGTTTGACTTTCATTGGTGACCAATGGTTTTAATCCCCTTTGGTAACATGAGCACTAGTTATAGTATATGGCCTGTGGTGTTAATTCTGTACAATCTCCCGCCTTAGATGTGCATGAAACCAAGCTCCTTTTTGCTGTCCATGATCATTCCTGACAAGAGCACCTATAAATGATATAAATATCTATCTACAACCATTGATATAGGAATTGATCGAGCTGTGAACTACTGGTGTCGAAACCTATGACTCATATGAGAAAAAGCTTTTCAACCTTTGCACAACCTTAATGTGACTAACACAGCACATTGAGTTGAAATGAATCCCACACTAGCCAACATTTATATTTTTAGTTGTGACTACCATAGCACCATAGCTTTTGTAACTTAAAATAGCGTCTAAGTATTTGAACCAGAACAAAAGTAAGAGCAAGAAGAGGGACAAAGAGAAATAATGCAATATATATGATATATATAGCAAGGCAGAAAGCTACATCAAACCCAAACATGATGCATAACAACCATATGAGCTTATTTTGTGTGGGTGTAAAATGAGTACCTTAGAAGTAGCCGTTGAGGGAGGCCTGTAAAATGGTGAAATAGAAACTCTTTGATGCGACTTCTTCAGATGAATTTGTGGAAGTATAGTGAGTGAGGGAGAGAGTTCAATAAGAAAGAGTGAATGTGTATGAAGTTGTTGAGAGAGGAGGGTAGATGAGTGAAGAGGCTATATAAAGAGATAGAACATCACCAACTATACGCAAACAGTGGTTCGCATTCACAGACAATTAGGCCAAGTTTGGTAGCAGAGTATTTGATTTCTCTGTATTCGATGCAATTTGGTGGGAATAAACAAAGGGGCCTCAAAAAAAAAAAAGAAAGAAAAGAAAAGAAAGCACTGAGTTGGGTTAAGGGTGTCTCGAAGTTTTCATTTGGGAGTATTGGACATTAAGAAGTTTTTTTGAGTTCAACATTTCTTTAAAACTTTAAAATCATACGAATTTTGCTCCCTGCCATTAAAAAACTAATGTTGACAATTAAGATAGTGACATTGGCCATTAACATTTTTAATGTTAGAGGGCAAAATTGTGATGATTCGAAGCTTCCTGGGAAATAATGAATGAAAAAAAAAAATCCTAGGTGCCCAGTGCTTTCAGTGAAAATTTTTTGGGCAAATTTGCACCTTAACCCCATCATATCTGATAAATAAATATTTGGGTGAAGGTGCAACTATACCCTTGATCTTTTTAGTAATACAATTTTACCAATCATTTTTTTGTATCATTTTATCCCTAATCTTATTCCTCAGATGCACAAAAAAAATCATTGATAAAATTAAACAAAAAAAAAAGATCATGAATAAAATTGCACCACTAAAAAGATTAGAGTGCTGAGTGTATTTGAGAAATAAAATCAGGATAAACCTTTTCCTTAGATAATTATATAAAGAGTGAGAATCATTGTGTTCGTAAAAAAGAAAAAGGGAAGAAGCATATAATTTTGGAACCAAACGTCAAGTAGAGTTCAACTTTAATCAATTAAAGGCTCACTCCTTCCGCATGGCACCTTTCGCGCCTCTCTTTCTTAATTATTTTCAGACATATTCATAAAATAAAAATTCCATGAGCAAAGGAAGTAATAACCTAGCCAATTTAATTCCTTTTTTTTTTCACGTCCAATTGAATTTCTATAATATTTCGCCCTATTCTTTTAGCTTTAAGTGCTCTATTGTTTTCCTGAATTGGAGGGAAAGACACTATGATAATATGAGATTATAAGTAAAATCCAATCCATAACGTTAGTATTCACACACTTATCATTTTTAATGTGATATATACATATGTATATTGCTATAATTCATACACTTATTATATTTTCATAGAAGGTTTAAATTCATAACCTTAGAGTTAAGAAAGCTTTAAAAAAGCCTTAAAAGAGATGCTTGATGTCCAGACAAATTGTGCATTTAGTTTGGTTGCAATGCTTTCAATATTTGTTAAAATTAATTATTAAGGCATAACTTTAACTAATTTCGATATGTAAGATATCATTATTAGTTGAGGACATTAAATATTTCAATGTCGTATATAAAATGATGGATAACTTATTTGTGCGTCACAGATATGTAAATACTAGTTGTATATCTAATTATCTACATATCAATGTTCAAATATAATATAATTTAACATGATAGTACTATATGTTTAAATAGTTTAATTAATTAATTACTTCTTTTCATTTTTTATAAGTCATTTACAATATTTCAACAGGAATTACATGGTTTTAAACTTATTAACTCTATATGAAAATTTAAAAAAATTATAATTTATTTCTTATTAACCCCATTCTTAAGAAAAATATAAACAGCATTGCATTAAATAAAACTAATATAAAAAAAATAATGTAACAATTATTTTAAATAATATTATACGCAGCTTGGGTGCTTAATATAAAATTTAATTTATAGTTTAATTTTAACTACAAACTCTATGTTAAATACTACCTCCGGTTTTAATTATAAGACCTCTGTTATAAACTACAAATATGATCTTATAATTAGGACCGAAGATAGTACTATAGGTTAAATAGTTGAATTAATTGCTTCTTTCACTTCTTTTATACGTGATTTACAACATTTCCACCGGAACTAGCCAGCAGTTGATATCTAATTAACTCCACATGAAAATTAACAAAGTTTTCAATTTTTCTCTTACTAAACCCATTGTTTCAAAAATATAAAAAAAACATTAAATAAAAGTAATGTAAAGAATGCGTCAAGGTCAAAAAGTTTTTTTCCCCTTAAAAAAAAGGTTTCTGGGTGGCTTCTTTCTTTTCTTTTCTTTATTTTTTGGACCAAAGTGGGTAGCTTTTTCAAGCAAAATAGGGGAGCACGTGAAGAAAGAGCCTGGCTTCTCCCTTTTTCCGTTAATCCGCTCCTGTCCTCTTCTACCCCAAAATTACTCTGTTTTGGGGGGCATAATGTGGATGGTGGACACCTTTTTTCTCTCTCTCTTTTTTAAAAAACATTTAAAGAGTGATCATAAGGTTGACATATTTTTTTTAATGACATTCAATATTAATAATTTTTAGAGCAGTTTTGCTTTTAAAATATTTCTTTTAATAACAACGAGCACCCTAAACTTATCATACTAAATGCTACTGAAAAATATTTTAGGCTATTAGATATACCAAAAATTATTTTAAATATTGAATATTACTGAAACATATTTTAAGGTGACAAGATACTAGGTGCTATTGAAAAAATATTTCAGGCTATTTGGCACAAGATGTTAGATAACGGATGGTATTAAAAAAATATTTTAAGATGTTAAATGTACTAAAAATTATTTTAAAATATTAGATGCTAATAAAAAATATTTTAAACTACAGGATGTTTTTAGAAAGGAAGAAAATCTCACTATTCATATTTTACCCAAAACGATGTCGTTTTGGGGCAGAAGACGATTTGTTTGGAGCAAACACAGAAAATGGCATGCAATAGGTTGGAATAAAATGTGTCTTCCAAAAGATCTTTTTTTTGGGGGGGGGGTGGGGGAATTAAAGATTTAAACTTGATGAACCTCTGCTGCTGAAACTGATATGGAAAATCAATAATGAACCCAATGAGCTATGGGTTCAAGTGTTGAATGGAAAGCATAGGCGAGGTCAACATTTTAGAGATGTACCAGAGGTGAAGAATGTGGACTCGAGTCTATGGAAAGAACTTTCAAAACTCAGGGAATTCTTTGAGGAACACATAGCAATAGAGCCAAGAAGTGGAAATATCACGAATGTGTGGCTGGATTGTTCGCTAGAGGGTGAGGGAGAGCTCATAGATCAAGTATAGAATCGTGAAAGCATAAACACGAGGATGCGTGTCAGGGATAAAGGAGGATGGGTCATGGAATGTTTCGATACCGGCATGCCACAACAGACAGCGGAGAAAATTCTTCATTTGCGAGCAAGACGAGGACTTGATTATCTGGAAATCTAACTCTAAAGGGGAGTTCACTACTTCTAGTGCCTATTAGGCTCTAGCTAAACTACTCTGCGAACCCCGAAACAGAAAGTTTTGAAAAGGAATATGGAAGCCCAGAGAGAATGATATTTTTTATTTGGAGAGCTTCCCACAACAGACTCCCAACACTTGAAATGACAAGCAAATGGATAAGACTCTCAAGTAACTTCTACATTTCGGACTGGGGTGTTATCAACCTAAAATATAAAATATATCTAATCTTTCATTCACAAATCATAAATGATTTATGTTATGAATTTTGGATAAGACTTAGTTTTTAGTTAGTTCAATAGAGAAAGATAATGTCTTTTTTCCACTTAGTTCAACTGGGAAAGATAATGTCTTTTTTCCCACTTAATATCAACCCGTCTCTAGAAGTCATATTGGGTATAAATTATTTTAGATCGAGTTCATTTTTTTCCATATAAAGGATTCAAGCTTGAGACTTTATTATTTACTGAACACAGAATGTTGCACCATTTTAATTTTGATAAAATAAAAATAGGGATGATAGCTCGGATAGTCAACTTTTATTAATTCAAATTGACAATTGTCTCTTTGCACTTAGGTTGGAACGAAGAAGTATGCTTAACAATTTCTCACTTCAACTGTACAAAAAGGGGAAAAAATCCTGAGATAAACTGCTAAGAAAAGTTAGATAAAGCCAACAATGATTGCATGATGCATCCAATCAGCAAGGTTAATGATAAAATGAATATTCCTTTTAAGTATGCTTCCTCTCTCTCTCTCTCTATGCTCTGTGTGTGTGTGTTGTCACAAGAGGATTAAAACCTTCAAATCATCGACCTCTGACTGCTTGTTATAGAGCAGAAGAGGTGCCTACCTTCATAATACATATCTCATATTGACTATTATACCTTTTATATATATATATAAATATATGTGTATATATATATGTATGCGTGTGTGTAATGTGCGAGTAACACTTGGGGAAGAAAAGCATATACATAAAATAAATGAAGTAAAACTAATAAATAGAATTCTGTTGACAATGATTCAAACAATCTGGGACAGTTGGATATCACTTTCTCTATTGTCATAGGACTCCACCCCGTGTTTTAAATCTTGTTCAAGACTTTTTTCCGCACTTTTTTGCGGTACTCCAAAAAAGGCTTTCTTAAAAACTATAGCAATAATGAAGAAAAAGGACAAAACAATAAAGAGAGTGACAATACCAAAACCTTTGGAAACCCCCAGGACAGTATATATGCCTGTCCCAAATGCCGTGATCATGAATCCCATTGCCACCATGGTTAAATACCCACAATTAAATAGTAGGAATTCAGAGAGTTCCTGCTTCGCATCCTTCTCTTTTGCTAGAGCTGATGAGAAAAATAGGAAAAAAACAACAGAAATAGAGAGAACAAATGAGAGAGAGTCTGTGAGAACAAATGCTATGAAAGCTGCATTATACTCTAATATGGGAGAACCCTGATGTTCTCCTTCTTGAATCAATCCCCCAGGCAACGTAAATCCTGCTGCAAATGTTACTGTTGCAATTAAAGTTGCCACTACAGAGAGGGTGGTTGCCATTCCAGCTAAACGATCTTGATCATTTGTCTTGTATTTTTTCGATACACCATTTGTTTTATATTGTTTCTCCTCTTCACCAACTGCTAAATCATACCTCTTCTCTTGTTTCTTCTCTTTAAGGTGCTTATCCAGAACCCGTCCTCCTAGCCTTGCTCCAATAGCTCTCAATTCCTTTAACATTGTGTTCTGCACCTTGTAACGCATAAAAGTCTTTCATCTTTGCATGAACCTTTAATTAGATTCAACTTATAAATGTTAAATAAGTAAGTTGCATTCACTAATGTTCTATATGATCAATGCAATTAGATTAAACCAAATCAAACTAGTGCAAGACCTATTAAAAGACGTCATAGCCTTGATTAAAGCAATACGAAATCGAATAGCTCGGTCTCTTAGCTTACCAAACTTGAAGAAGAATGGTATGTGTCAGTATTAAGGCTTCATTATAAAAGCACTCGTTTAGAGTGTGATAGCTGAAAATTCAAATCGAACAAAATTAATACATGAATATTCTAATTTTTTTTTTTAACAATAACTTAAACACATGGCATATCTATATTGTCTTTTATTCTATCAATCTATATTATAAAAGTACTGCTCTTCATACACTCTAAAAGAATTGACTTTTAGTAACGACAAAAAGTTGTTACCAAGTGGCCGCTATAACGACTATTATTGATACACATCAGCGACGACAAAATGAGTCACTGCTAAAAAGTACTTTTAGCTCCCACACTAGTAAAAACAGCCATGGTTGAAGATTATCTTTAGGCGTGACATTTGTTGCCACTGAAAGTGGCATAAAAATGATGCCATGTCATCACCACACATCACCCTGCTACATCACCCTCACGGCATGACACCACATCACTTGCCACCCCACTTTCAGTTTCTCACAAGTTGTCTGCACCCAAGTTCGAACCTGGAACCTACTTGTTATAATGTGAGTGTTGTTACACGGAAGCTGAAATGAAACCCCACCATTCGTGATAGAAATTCTATTGTTAACATCATGTATTCATAATGTATAAATCTCTATTAATATGTGTGATGTAAATAAATCTAATAATTAAACACATGTATTTAAGTTAACACGCGCGCGCACACACACATATATTAATTTCTATATTAAAATGAAATCAAATATTAAATTATATATTAATATAATATTTAAAACATTCTTTTATATAATTAATGTAAAATCATGATTTTAATTTCTTATGTCATATTTTTAATATTCATATAAAATATTAGTGAATGAGTTAAAATATATTTTATAGATATAAAGATAAAGTTTTAATATATAAAAATAATTAAAAAAATTGTATTGCATACTTTTTGAAAACATTATTGATAAATTTTATAATATGTTTTTAATTCTTATGATGTTTATTTTTAAGTATAAATTAGCAAAAAATTAAATATTATATTATATGATACGTATTATATTTCAAGATACTATTAAAAAAAATCATTTAGCATTATATAAATATATTTAAATATATTATTTCGACAAAAAATGTGATTATATCTAATATATCTATAGGATTATCTTAATTCAGGTGTGAGAGGACATAAAAATCTCATTTGATTTAATATTTAATTGTGTGGATGTATCATTTATTTTGAATTAAAGTATCAATTTATGCATAAAATTTCCATGAAAATAGAAACTCACTACCTTATTTTATTTATTTATGATAAATAACATATTTCATATTTTAATATGTCAAATAATATATCGAAACAAAAAATAAAAAAAAATTATACCCATTTTTCATAAAAACAATTGTAGTTAAAAGTCTTACCTTTGGGGATGACTAAAAAATATCGTTGCCATCTAAAAGTATGATCTTCGGTGGTGACAGAAAAAGTCGTCACCCAAAATATGAGTTTTATCAGTAACCGTAAAAAATCACCGCTGAAAGTATAGGTTTTAGTGGTGACTCAAAATGTTACCACTAAAAGTATTGTCTCTTAGCGAAGACAAAAAATACTGCCGCTGAAAGTTTAACTTTGAGTGGCAACTTTCTGATAGCGTACCTATCAAGACTTTCAATGGCAACTTCAAAAGTTATCATTGAAAGTGTTATTTTCAATGACAACAAAAAAAGTCATCGTTGAAGACTTTCAGCGATGAATTTTTTTGTCACTTTTGAAAGTGTGTTTTTTTTTTTTGGTAGTGATAGCATGGTATTTAGGAAAACTAGAGGCGTGCATGCAAATGCCCAAAATATCAAAATAAATCCTTATATTGTGTCTTCTTTTTTATTTTTTAATAACTAGCTAGATGTCATTTCTTGTTACCTCATCAGCTGAATTTGGGGGCACAACATCAACAGCAACATCGAGAGCAGTTTGACCATATTTATTGCATGCCATTGTGTCCACTTTTGGAAATTGTAGGTCCAGAAGAGGATGATAACGATTCCGTTTGGGAGCTTGACGGGCAAGAAGGTGAAGTGGTGTGTTCCCATCATCATCTTTCTCATTGCACAAGTTGCTTAGCGGTGTATCTTGTATGATTTGTTTTAATAGTCGTAGGGAATGAGTTTCTCCCATTGTAATGTAGTGCAGAGCATTTAAACCCTTTTCATCCACCAATTCATAACAATCTGGACAATAGTTTAATACCGTTCTCATCTTAACTGAATCTGCAAGTGCTGCAAAGTGAAGAGCCGTCCTTCCCTTGTTATCCCTCATGTATGCCGTGCCTCTATCTTTGCTTACCAACAATTCTAACACCGTTGGACGTGCACAAAGTGCTGCCAAGTGAAGGGGAACCCAACCATTTTCATCTGCTTCTTTCGCCGCTAATAAATTTCTTGTCAACAACTTCCGCACTTGTCCTGTCATATATAGATAACATCAAATCAAACACCATCCATTTCATCTAAAAATAATTAGCTACTTTCTCACATGAACACTTTTCAAATTTGAAGTGTTAATTTCAATCGTAACTATCATAATTTAATTAAAATAATCAGTAACAATTCTGTTAAATTATTTCAGAGAGTTTATATCAGTTGTTATTTCATTTTTTTTTAAAAGAAAAGTTAGTTTAAGCATGTTAGTTAATTTTGGTTGTTGTCGTTTTATTCCTAGGAAATTAGGTATATAAATGAAAGATTAATTATTATAAATGATAAATTACAAAGTCATAAAATAAAATACCTGTGTCACCATGAAGGACTGCGGCATGCAAAGCATTTCTGCCATTAGGGCCATTATATTGTGGTGAACTACTCTGATCCAATATTTTATGTACCATGTCCCAATTTTGTCTCTCAACAGCAATATAAAGTGGAGTCTCATCATCAACATTTTTACCAAAATATGTGTGATCTGGTTCTTCCTTTATCATGACATCCACCACTTCATTGTGACCGTAACGAGCTGCTTCGTGCAAGGCCGTGTCCTTCCTATTATTTGTTGCTCTTATAAGCCTTTTTTCAGTTCCAACTTCATAAATATCAGAGTCTCTAGCACAAGCAATTAATTTTTTCACTATTTCATGATGTCCATATCTTGCTGCTATATGAAGTATGGTATCACCCTTCCCATTGGTCTTCAAAAGAAGTGCACGACACATATGTAAAACCTCTTCCACAAATTTCTCTGAAACACTGTCAGTGTACTTCGTGAAGTGTATATGAAGGATTGTATTTTTATTTGGGGTTAGTATGGACTCAATTGGCTCACCCTTCTCTTTAAAGAGATTGATGTTGCCTTCCACTGCAGCTTTGTGAAACTCAGGTTTCATGCCTGTAATTGTGACAATTGTGTAGTTGTCGGGATCAGAAACAGGTTCTACTGTCGTGATTTTGGTGGCTTCTGTCTTGCTGAAGCTAGCATTATCGGCTGTTATCTCCATCCAACTCCTTTTTCACTGAAACTGTTTATAAAATCCCTCAAAAATGAAACCTCTGAATTTTGGTTATGCCAGACAATATAACTATATGCCGAATATCTCTCTTTCTTCTTCCTTTTTCTTAAAGTCAAGTTCTATATTTTTGGAAACACTAAAACAGACATAGATAATGATAATTACGGATGAAGGATTGGATCTGTGGCGTGTGATTTATCATACCCATGGAATATTAATTATTTATCCACTGCATGGGCGAGAATCAAGTAAAATTGAGTCAGCCTTGAGTCCTTGACCTACTGCCAATTAGATGGATTAGAATTCAAACATAAAATTTGGCTTCTTGCTGCTATAAGAAATGTACTGTCCCTATGGATCTGAAATTAATTAATCCCACACTAGCCAACATATACATTTTCAGCTATGACAGCCACGGCACCACAGCTTTTGTAACTTAAAATAGGTCCAAATGTTCCAACAAGAATAAAAGTAAGAGCAAGAACAAGGGCAAAAAGAAATAATGCAATCTTCTAAGCAATATCAATAAAGCAAGACATAGAGCTACATCAAACTGAAAAACCATGTGATCTTATTTTGTGTAGATGTAATATAAGTAGTTAAGTACCTTAAAAATAGCTGTTGAGGGAGCCTTGTAAAAGGGTGAAACAGTAACTCTTTACTTCTTCAGATGAATTTGTGGAAGTAGTGTGAGTGAGGGGGAGAGAGTTGAATGAGAAAGAGTGAAATTGTATGGAGTGGTTGAAAGAAGGTAGAAGAGTAAAGTGTATTGAGTGGTGGTTGAACCTATAAAGAAACAAGGACGAGAGCAATGAGGGTTTTATCATTTACTTTTAAAGGAAAGGTAAGTGGGGAGGAGCTATATCTTATCCTAATCTAATCCACAACAACTAACTCCGAAACAGTTCTGTTTTTTGATAGGTCAGTAACGAATATCGTCAAAACACAATTCTGACTTTTAAGCACAAAAAGCCGGATATATCGTAATGTACAATGCTGACCACAAAAATTAAAAGAATATCCTTTGCTTTTAATTTGGGTAATATTGGACCAGTGTCGGCACATGGCATGAACCTATTATAAGGGTCCTTTGTGTGGTGGAGGTTTGAGAAAAGAGAAGATAATTGAGAAATAGCTCAAGCATAAGATCAATGCAGTTGAAGTTAAGGCCAAATGATACAGTATAAAAAAGGCCAAAATAAAAAACGCTGTACAGTATAATGGGATTTAAAATTTATTTAGTGCATTGACTCAGAGCATTTTGAAGAGATCTGGCAGAGGTAATTGATATATACATGAACAACGTGACACCACCCTGCAACGATCGAATTCAAATTGTGTAAAATATTCACACCAAGACATACAGCTTTAGGAGTTGCTTTTAATTACTGTGAGTTCTCCTCCTAACGATGGAAGGACTATTGTCATAAGTCATAGCTAGGCTTCTCGGGACAACCTTCGGAGGAGTATAATATAACAATAACCATTGATGGGGTTTCTTTTAATAGATTCTGTGGGCGAAGCCAAATTTTCTACCAGGAATAACTGTGCAGGATACAAGTTTTGACTTTGAACCCCGTTTCTTTTATTTCTCACTTCATCTTCAGCCTCCTCCTTGTAACTAGCCAATGCTGGTTGGCTCAAAAGAGGGCTGCAAGAATCGCCATCCCCCAAAAACTTCGCATCTGATCAGGACTTAAAGCGGGTCTGGGTGATTATGCCACCTGAAATGAGCTTGTAACTCAGCACATACGTAACAAATATGGCTCGATGTAGCAGCATAAAACTTACTGTCGTCCCACTTGGCCACAAAATTTAATGACATTTCGGATGATGAAGGGCAAGCATCACAATTAGCATGATTTCAGAAGGTAGTTCAGACAGCATTTTACGCCGAACAACATAGCTGCAGTCAATTATAAAGCTACTTTTTGGATGATCGGGGCTTGTTTGAATTAACATTGGCAAAAGTGACTTTTATTTTAACTGGGATTTGCAAACTCAAGTTGAGATAAAAGTTAATTAGCATAATGTAATTTATATTTGGATAGGCTTTTATTAACCCAAAAAAAAAAAAAAGTTAGTTTGGCATAAACTTGTTTGGATGATATATTGAAAATCAGTTTTAAAACATTCACATCTAAACAAAAGCCAAAGGCCTAAAGTCAAAGGAAATTTCTTCATCTTCAACTCAACTTTTATTGAGAAGCTCTTTTTCTCAGAAGCCATCCCAAACATCACATGTTGAGCCAAAGCGGCTTTTCAAGGAAGAAAAGTCAGTTTGGCATCACATAACTTGGAGGCCAAACATCACACAGAACACATCATTAATGAATCAGTTCTGTTGAACTGCTTTGAGCAAAAGGGGTCTAATATAACAACACAAAAGCTGAGATAATCAACATCAGTATTCAATATATGATGCAACTATTTTAAGAAGTCATCTTGACCATAAGTTAATCAGACACCAAGCTAGAGATGAACCAGCAATAGCCAGACATCACACACACACACAGATATATATATATATATATATATAAACACACACAACACAAATTCAAAGAACATGTCAAATATTATATAACCTCTCCCGGCATTGCACCTCCTTTGTCCATGATCCCTTTACAAAGTTTAGGATTCAGAACTTTCTGGCAAGCATTGAACATCAGTTCTCCTGGGGAGACACAAGGCTGTAAAAACAGTCACAAATTCCCACCTCCAACTCTAAATATAAGATCTCCTTTTAGGACCAGAGGTGGTAGTTTACTGTAATCAACTTTTCAATATGTTAGCAAACAAGCTAGTGGAAGAATCTCGTTATAATTTTAATTATCATCAATATGTTGCTCTTTAGTACTATACAAATTACACCAAGACTATTGCAGGAGTGAAACTAAAATGTAACAGTAAAGTGATAGCCACTAGTTAAGAGTATTTAGGGGATAATCAGAGAAACGGTAAAATAAGCACATTAATTTTATTTTTCATTCCCATTTTGATTTTGATTCCCCCTTCATTTTAGCCTCTTTTGTTAAAAAGACATTTTAATACTACTTCTAATCCTTAATATAAAACCTAGTTGACTAATTTGGGAAAATTAAAAAAGTTACTAAATTATGATAAATTATTTATATTCATCGTTTTTATCCAAACTAATTTGTCTTACTTATAAATTGATATTTATAAATGTAGAAGAATCTCCAACAACACTCAACAACAATAAAAAGCAACATCTAAGTTACAAAATAAATAACAAGCACAGGAGAATATACATTTTAATATGGCATGAAAATAATTCACCTTGCTAACAACTATATAGTCTACTTGTCACATCCCGAAAATTAAGGAGTGACTGGCACAGAATATGATAGAATTCACATTCCTTAAGCCTTAAAACATATAAATAATTACGTAACATAATCATTATAACTTCATTCACAATATCATGATTGATATAATATTCTAGGACATACATACACCATTTCTGATTCATTTATATATATATATATATATATATAAACATATTCCTTATGATCATAATACCAACATGTCAACTGAAAATAAGGATCTTGCATATAAGCTACATGAAGCATCTAAGTTATAAAAGTAATTACAAGTGTAAATTTAGATTTCCATGGATTACCAATTCCTCCAAAAAAATATCTCCAAGCTTGATTAGCAATGAAATCCCTTATGGTTCAACTAGAGATGTAGGGTCAGTAGTGTTATTTGAGGCCAAAATTGGTTTTTTTTTTTTCCCCTTTTGTGAATAACATCCCATAAATAAAAATAAGATAAACACATGATGAAATAACAAATTATGCAGATATTATTTTGTAAAATGATTTACTAATGATTTTAGATTTTTGAGTAAGCTATTTAGACATAAAAGAAATTATATAAAGAACTTCATGATATACAAGAATAACTAAATATTTAAACAACTTATAAAATCAGATCATGAAATAGTGTGAAAAACCCTGCTCAAGTGAGGACCTCAACAAAATAAGCAACAAGCGTAGACACATAGTCCACAAGGGCAAGTAACCATCAAGCGCGATCAAAGCCACGAGTACAAATGTGGCAACAATGCCCACAAATATCCAGCGAGCTCATGTTAACCATGGCGCACCCATACAAATGCAGCCAAAACCATGAATAACAAGTGCAGCCAAAGTCACTAATAACAATGCAGCCAATGCCATGAATATGAGCGCAACTGAAGTCACAAATAACAAGAGCAGTCAAAGCCACGAATAACAAGCATAGCCGAGGTTACAAATAACAAGCGTAGCCGAACCCACAAATACAAACACGACCGAAGTCACGAATAACAAGCATGGCCAAAGCCACAAATAACAAGCGAACTTGATATCAAACATGGCACCCCAAGGGCTATCAATACTGCTGTTAGTAACCAGCAATATGTATTTAGTCCTCTCAAAAATGTTTCAAGCATGCATAGGGTCAATTAGCCACTTGCAACAGAAAATATATTTCTTTAATAACAAAAGTTAGTAAAAGATATATAATAAAAGAAGACCCCAGCATGAAGTTTTACAAAATCTCAATTGATTTCTTTCAAGTTCCATCAGTCAACAAATCCTTTTAAATTAATAAGGGAAAACCATATTGGAGGTACCTGTATTTTTTGTAAATTTTCAATTTGGTACCTATGTGTTTTTTGTTCTTAACTAAATCTTTAATTTTGCTCAATTAACATCATTAATCCTTATATGGAGACTAAAAATGCCAATAGAACAAAGTTATAAGAGCTAATGTAGCTAAAAGAAAATAAAATTAAATGTTTAATCAAGAGGAAAAAACACATAGATACCAAATTAAAAATTGAGAAAAAGTAGAGGTACCTATGATATGGTTTTCCCAATTAATAATAGCTCACATAAAAAAAAAAAAAAAACATTTCACAAAATCACCTTGAAAGATTTCTATTAAATTTTCATGCATAAAGACTTGTAAAGACTGAAAAGATATAAAATAATCAAGTAGCTAACCATAAATAAAATTGTTATTTCATTTGAACATTCAAATCTCAAGAGCAAATGATATAATTCCAACAAACTCGCTTTCAACAAGTATTACTTAAAATTGATAATATAATTTTAAAATATGATATATTGAAAAACCATATCATTTATAAAAATATCATAGGATGCTGTTTACTCACCTGCTGTGCTCCCAACATATACATTGTTTCAGTTTATACAGTTATGATTTAAGTTTGCTCCTCATTCTCCCCAATGTCCTAAAATCAAAACGTTTCTCCCAAATAAAAACTTATACAAGAATTTCCATAACAATTCATTCAATGTAACTTTGACTAATTCATCCTAATAAGTCTTTTTTTTTTTCCCTTCCTCTAAACTTCAAAGTAGAAGATAACAAATTTATTTATTTTAGCATTCCCCCATTCTAAACCCATACCAAGTCGGTGCATATAAAATATACATATATATATGTGTGTGTGTAAAAGTTTGAACAATATTCCTAGCTTTCTATATTCAGCATAAAGAATTCACAACTTTGCTCTTCAATTTCAACAGTTATTAATACATTGAGAGCACTTAAGGCCTATTCCAATCAAATTCTTCTCCTGCACATATTCACAAACACCTTGTGGCATTCAATTTAAAACAGTAAAGCAACATCATAGCTCATCAATTACAACCACACATGTTCAAGTATCCCAATAATTTCCTAAGGTTTACTCAAGCATAAGCAAAATTGATTTAAGACAGCATCTCACTTTATAACTACAATCAAAAATTACACTCCCAAACACCACGGTAATCTCTTTAAAGTTCAAAAGTTACAAAATTGATTTCAAATCCTTCCCTTTTTCTATAAACCTCCGAATTTAATAAATTCAATCAGTCAACATACTAGCTCCTTCCCTTTTCCTTTAATCAGTAGCCAAAAAAAAAAAAGCAAAGAGAGGATTCGAGCATAACACACATATAGAAACAGTGTATAAGAGAAGGACAAAGTTCGCACTCACCCACGCTCAGCCGCGAAGCAGAGAGAGACAGAGATGGGTTCAGCAATGAAGAATCAAGAAAATGAAACTAGTCATGAGAAGGAAGCCATCGTAGACGAGCGGAGAGCAGCGACGACCGAAGAACCGCAATGATGGTGTCGATAAGGGAAGAAGGAGAAACTTGACCGAGGAGGACGACGCATCAGCACTAGAATGTTGAAAGGGAGAACCAAGAGCAGCTGCAGAGACTCGATGAGCACCTAAATGCCCACAAACATACGACGTCGTTGAACCCCAGATTTCCTCGTCCCGTATTCCCAGTTTCTCTCTGCATCCTACTCTTGAACACCTGGCACCGTTACCTCGTCCCTCCTTTTCCCTTTTTAGACTGTAATTTGCTTTATTTTAAAAAATTAAACATTGGAATTAATGGCTGGATAAAGCAAAATTTTTATAAGTAGACTAAAATATACATTTAATCTTTTAATTTTATATAAGGTTTCAATTTGATTTCTTAACTTTAAAAAATATATTTTAGTCCTTTAACTTTAGAATTATTAGTGAAAAATAATGATATTGACATCTTAAATTTTGATAAAATGTTTTCAAATGCTAATATATTAAGTTTAATTTTTAAAACAACTATGATTATTACAAAAAAATTATTATTTAAGTCTAACAATTCTAAAGTTAAAAGACTAAAAATATAATTTTTAAAGTTAAAAGATCAAATTAAAACCTTATATAGAATTAAAGGAAACCTATATTCTAGCCTTTTAAGTAAAATCAAAGGTTCAAATGTATTAAATAACAATAAACGGATTAAGTGACATAGGACACGCTGAACTATATTTCTAGCAACATATAGTATCGTAAAATAATTTTGTGTACATTAACAATCAATATTTTAAAATAATTTTTGGTTCAATATTGTTCTTAAAGTATTTTTATCAGTGGCAACAAGTGGTTTAAACTTATGATGCTAAGTGCTACCCAAAAACTATTTTAAGTCAAACAATTCCCAATTTAAATTCAACTCTCAAAAAAACATGTCAATATAAATTCAACTCTCAAATCATACTTTCACAATTCAAGTCAAACAATTCCCACAAGGCATTAAGAAAAGACATATCAATAGCATTATAAAGTTCTCAAATCATATAAATACACATTTTCACAATTCTCTCATAAACACACATCAACATATATAATGAGTGAAAAGTGGTTACCTCTCGCTGAAACAAGGACAAGAAATATATCATAAGAATTTCCGGGTTCAAGTCACAACTCATAAGTGGTCTGCACAACACAGCACAACCACAAAGTCAAAACATAACTACTTAAGTGGGTATGTACAATAATTAGAGATCCCAATCCTCTAAGTACTCAAATCTCACCATAGCCACAAATCAATCCATCCAACACTAAACTTGGGACCCCAATAGCACAAATAACTCCTCTATACCATTCACTAACCTCAAAGTATGCAATTCAATCAGAAATCCCAATTTCACACTTAGCCTTCAACTTTAAAAATACCCATTTGAGCAGTTTTAGTTCTATCAACAATCTAAATTGATTAATCAACAATTCTAACTCATATTAGCATGACCAAATCATCAAAACTTATTTCCAATATCTACATTATCATTATCCATCAAAAACTTCAAGAAATCATAAACCTAACCTCAAAAATCTTCAAAACTCCAAATACAAGAAATCTAGATTGATTAAACACTTAATCTAACCCATCTAAACCATTTAAACTCAAATTAACCGGTCAAAGTTTACCCCAATTTGAAATCCTCAAGAAACCTCAAGATCCAACTATTCAAAAATCTAAAAATCTAAGAGGAAAGGGTAAAAAAATAAAGTCTAGGAAGCTTACTTGAGTGTTAAGAAGCTCAAAAATACTCTTTAAAGGCCAAACAATGAAGCCCTAACAGAGCCCAATCAATCTTCTTCCTACTCCCCTTTGTTTTTGGTAGCTGTCAACTGGTTTATAAAAGGGTTAAGGTGCGCCCAGCACCTCGAACTATTTTCCCAGGTGCATCCAATGTCCTAAAGTAATTTTTGGTGCATCCAGTGTCCCAAACTAATTAAAACGGTGCATCCATATCCCGAGCTAATAGAAAAGTTAAGTTTGACCATTAGTTGACCGAAAAATCTGACATGGCGGACACGTAGGCGTTTGATGTGTATTATTTTGACAAGTTAAGGTGCACCCAACACCCTGAACTATTTTTCCATGTGCGCCCAGTGTCATAAAGTAATTTTTGGTGTATCCAGTGTCCCAAACTAATTAAAACGGTGCGTCCACATCCCATGCTAACAGAAAAGTCTCGTTTGACCGTTACCTTATTGATTCAGCTGAAGGTTGATCGAAAAATCCTACATGGCGGATATGCAGGCATCTGATGTGTATTATTTTGACTGAAAATTCAATTTATTTCCTCCTCTTCTAACATTTATGTTCTGCCAGTTTTAAACTTAAAAAAAAGAAAGACCACCGATCCACCCTCTTAAATCTTGGTACATGTACCACCCATTCAATCCCATCCTCATCTTTAACATTTTATCCCATTTCTTCCACCACTCCGATTTGAAACCACAACCGCTGTCACAGCACACTTCCATCTTTATCTCTGTCAACTCCTCATCCGACTTGCATTTGCTTTCCTCCTCATAGAACACAGTAAACTTTCCCTTAGTCACTCCATCGATATCATTGTCACCTTCTAAGAAAACACCCGCCGCCACAAAGCTCGTCTCGGGAGCTTTAGTCAAAATAATACACATCAGACGCTTGCGTGTTCGTCATGTAGGATTTTTCGGTCAGCCTTCAGCTGAATCAGCAAGGTAACGGTCAAACGAGACTTTTCTATTAGCCTAGGATGTGGACGCACCGTTTTAATTAGTTTGGGATACTAGATGCACCAAAAATTACTTTAGGACATTGGGCGCCCATGAAAAAATAGTTTAGGGTGCTGGGCGCACCTTAACTCGTCAAAATAATACACATCAGACGCCTACGTGTCTGCCACATCAGATTTTTCAGTCAACTAATGGTCAAACTTAACTTTTCTGTTAGCTCGGGATATGGATGCACCGTTTTAATTAGTTTGAGACACTGGATGCACCGTTTTAATTAGTTTGGGACACTGGATACACCAAAAATTACTTTAGGACATTGAGTACACCTGGGAAAATAGTTCGGGGTGCTAGGTGCACCTTAACCCTTTATAAAACCAGATTTTGATGCATTCATTACAGTGAACATCTAGCAAACAAGATAATTAACATTCTATTTTGTTCACTACAGTGAACATCTAACAAACAACACAGACAAAAAGGGCCGACTTCAAAAATTCATATCTAGCTTTATGGATGTCCAAAAATTACAAACTAAGCTTCTTTAGAAGGCTTGAGATGTCTATTTTCCAATACAAAATGGATCACTTAAAAGTAAGATCATTTGGCCCTTGAAAATGCCCGACTTCCAAGAGTACTCAAAAAGGTTTAGAGATATGGCCTCCAACTATCAATCTTAGTATTTCTAAGCCTCAAACTTCCAATTTCAACTACTTAATAGCTCAATTTTTCTTGCTAGTCAAAGCTTAATTAACTCTAAACCTCAAATTAAATTTTTGGATGTCATAGCATGTATAGACCAAATTCTAATAAAGCCAAGGCTAAACATGACTACTTATAATTTATACATTCATCTCAATATCTTCATATATGCTATATGTAACATTCTAATTTTTATTCCTATGATTTAAATATATTTGAAAAAGAAAAATTAGTTCATGATAAATGAAATTTTACCATGTAATTACTTGAGTAAAGAGGATTTACCGAAAACGTGATTTATTGAAATAAAAGGATTACAGAAAACATTTTTTTCAAAAGGGTTGTAAACCTTAATTGTCTCAATTATCACATGGGGTCCTTAGGTGTAATACGCTCCTAACTATATTACATGTTGCAGAAAATGCGTTTTCCTCGTCGTCCTCCCTCATTTTTCTCCTCCTTTAAGCTTTAGTATTTATTTTTGGTAAGTAAAACTACTCCTAATCACAAAATTTCCTTTATAAAAATTATTCTACTCAACTAGATCTACCTAATGGGTATATAATTATGGTGATTAAAGAAAATATTAGGATTCAGATATGGAGTAAGTATTGAATTTTGAGAATAGATGACCATAAAAATTTAAAGGTAAATGAGTCGTTAATTTTAATCGGTTTATATTTGTCAATTTGTTGCTTTTAGAACTTTAAATTAAATTTTAATTGAAAACCTTTTGTTTCATATATATATGACACTTATACCGATTAAATTTGAGTTAAATAATTTATTTGCGCTCTTTGATATATTATTAAGATTTTAATTAGTTTAGAATGTTGAAAATACTAAGGATATATTATTAGAGAAATTTTGAAATTTGAAGCTTAACTTATAAATTAAGAATTTTATACAATTAAATAAAATAAAATTTTAGGTAAACTTGTGGTTTAAATGATTGTTTGCGGTGAGAAAAATTTTAAATGATGTTAGAATAAATGATTGAGAATTTTAATTTAGAATTAGAATTATGGGTAGTAAATATATATACTAATAATAAGTTTTATATAATTAAGTTATTTATTTCTATATATTAAATTGTATCTATATTGTTGTGTAGATTATTTTGCGTTTCGGAGTTTGTAATTTGTACTCTTATTTCTCAAGTAAAGTTAAACTTCAAATTGAGGTAATCGAGATTAATTTATTTTATATGTATGCTTTGGATCGTAAAGTGTTTACTATGCTTTTATTTTCTCAAATTAATTTGTCAAAGTATGTCTATGAATAAAGTATATATTTTCTCATATAACAAATTTTGGTAAAGTAGAAAGTATGTCGATCTAATTATGCATGAGTTGTCTTTTATTAGAAATTCTATTTTCTTGTTTTGTTGAATATGATATACTAATATTATGTTATTAAAAAAATGAAAATCTGTTGTACATTGTTTAAAGAGCTTTGATATTTTTAATTTATATCGTGACTATGCATGAAGGTTGAGATTTATTATGTGGTGGATAATTGTTCTTAAAGTCTACACAGCATGCTTACACTACTAATTTCCATGGCCCATAATTGAGATAGAACTCTTAGGTAGATACCTCTTACACTATAGTCCATGCTTGGGCGCCTTAGGTGTAGGAGGAGCCCTTTCACTTGATATGAGTAGGGTGAACTTTGGCCGGGTTGCTTAGC